ATTTATGGAATTGGTCAGATTTCTCAATACACCATCAAACTTCTAGAACTTGATTATTTCAATATGGGGATTCCTTTTACCTAACAAAATCTGATGGATGATTGCCTCGTTTGTACGATTCGGTTATATTATATAATTGTATCCCTTATCCCTTTTGACTCTGTCTTTATCTGTATAATTTCTGGAACTGATTTTCTAGTTTGGCATCACCTCTTCATATTTCTAGGTGATCCTTGATTTGATAGTATATAATAATTATATATATTGTAATGTACACCTTTATTGGAAGTGGGTAATTAATAAATTAATGTTGAACAACTAAAAGGCAAGCTAATCTAGTTCTACTAGTGCAGGAAAAAGAAAATGGCAGCTCTGTAGTTTCCCAAGAAGGGAAATTCCAAAGAGGAGAGGGACAAAGATTTTTGTTTTGGCAAACAGTTGTTGTGTGACTGCAGTGAAGAGAGGTTAAGAGAAGATATCCTATCTTGGCTCCAGTGGGTAAAACCCAGTAACAGTTTTACCATCTTAGATTTTGTTTGGCAGGGAGAATAGTTGTTTGGAATTTCAAGAGAGAGGATTTCCCAGAGAGCTTCAGTTGAGTGGAATAATAGTGTTACCATTTTGGGATATGTGTATGGCAGAACATAAGAAAATGAGTTCAGTGCCACAAAGGAAGAAACATTGTATGTAGAAAAAAGGTTAGCTTGTCAATTCATACTTGACTTTATTTTAAAATCAATGTTTAATATTAATATAAATAGTGTAAATAATAATAGTTTGTCTGAGTTGATCTGATTGTCAGTAACCCACACCTGAGATAAATAGATATATTAATACTATTATAATTTTGTTTTTTATTTAACCTCTTATTTCTTTTGGAAGTATCCTAAGGGTATAAAGTGATCTTCTGAGGTTATATTATTATTTTAAAATATAAGAGGGACGTTACAATATATAGAAATATAATATTATATATTTCAGCAATAATCTATTCTTGTAGAACTTAATATGAAAATCCAGAATATTTTACATTTCAACAACCGGATTAAAAAATAAAATTAATGTTATCAAAGAGAGAAAATAGGATACTTAGTAGAGCCGACAAATACAAAAACACAATCAGTCTGTAAACATTTATTTTGAAATATAATATAATGGATTTAAATATATAATAAGCTTTTCTATTTTTCAAACTATTTATAATAAAATAAAAATAATGATATAAAAGCTTATGAAAATTAATAAAAATAAACTTATTCTAATAATATATACATTAATATTTACAAATTAGGACACAGATGAAAAAAAAGCTTTTTTACATTTCTCAAGAAACGTTACATAGAAATCGGTTAAGTACTTCTGACTTAATAACCTTCTATGCAGTATCATTGATTTGAAGAAATAGAATTCAAAAACCTTGTTGACCACATAAAGAATGATCAGTCCAATATTGTGTTATGGTGAGCTGGAGAGTGTATTAATCAGATTAATGAAAATGGGAATGGTAGCAAAAATAGGTTGAAGCTTTGAGCCGAATAAGATAGGAAATTATGAATGGCTGGTAGGATTGAAAGACTTGGTATAAAAAATGTAACCAATATAAAACCAATATTAGAACGAAGGATAAAGCCACTTCGACACTAAACTAAACAAGAAAAATGGTCATGAAAACTATAAAGGTAAATAATACACAAAGGATTTGTTCTTTTTATTCATGCATTGATTCACAAACATCTTTATAAACAGCACATTAGTCATAGTCAGCGTTTCCACGATATTCTTTTTAATTTCTCTTTTGGTTAGTTATATTTTCTTGTTTTTTGTTTTTTTTCTTAGAATGAACAAAATCCCTTCTGGCTAAATATATACGAAAGAATAATTAATATTAAATGTAACTATCCACTTTATTTGTTATTTATTTTTATTGGATATCCCTCTATCCACAATTTCTGGCATATGGGAGGGGGTGGGGAGAGGGTTGTTGTAGAGGATACACAAAATAAGAGTCAACTCTTTCCAGATTGGAACCGAGAATGCAATAGTCATAAGGTACGAGAATGCTACAACGCGCAATGTTTCAAAACTCTCAGCCATTACGACCTCATAACTACTTGCTGCTTTATGTCTGTTTTATTTGCATTATTAAAAATAGGTTAAACTGAGCACATAATAGAGTTTGATTGATAAAAATTGTTTCCCTTATTTTCCCTTCAGAACCTTGTAATTTACCTAAAAAGGAAACTTTTTCATGAAAGTGAAAACTCTGGTCATAATAGAGCAAAATTAAAGAGTTACGCTGATTGGCCACCGAAAGCGCAACGGAGCTGAGCTGTGCGTAGCTGAGTCAGCTTCCAAAACCATACCAAAGATTTTCAATGAGAGGCCAGCCACCAGAAGCTGAGCGGCGAAGAAAGGGTTAGCTCAGGTCAGCTTTGGAAGCTGACTCCAACAGGCTCAGCTTCTCCCACCACACATACTCACGACTGTCACACAACCGTGGGGATAAGGAAAAATATTAGATTTTTCTTTTTAACTCCCACATGATCAACTTTGCTATTTTTTAAAAATGCTATACGGAATATGAGAAGGGTATCGATGCAAGGCAAGTTACTGACTGAGCTGAACTCCGCTACGCAATCGGTTGCTGACCCTTCTTGCTACAGTCAGCTGAGATAAATCAAGCGCATAAACGTTATGAAAATCTTGAGATAATATTGAAATTATGTATTCAAAGCTATTGTACTTTTTTATAAAAGGAGAAAGCTTTCGATTCTTCTTATGACTAGAAGAAAAATAAGGAGACCTTGAAATTTTTCAACATAATAAAAGAATAGAAAATTCAAACCGGCGCTTTCAGTGGCCGGTCAACCTTAAGTAGAAATTTAATTTTTTCAAGATGGAAGAAGAGGACAAAGGTAATTAGTAGGTTGTTAAGTGTAGAAGGTGCAATAAAAACTTTTTACTTCTCCTAGAGAGAATTTTTGTTCCCTAGTCAGTCATGTCTAGGTTTCTTCAAACAGTTACAGTTCATTATAAGAAAGTTATTTGTTAGAGAAATAATAATAAGAAAAGTTATGAATTGTTAAACGTAATAGCTAAATAATTATTTATTTATCACAAGTCAGTTTTAGATAAAACAGCTCAGCCTAGATTTCAAAAACTCCACTAAGTGAAATTTCTTTGTAATTAGGGTTGTTATAATGATTATAGTTAGAAATCCAAGGAAGATATAAGCACTACATTGAAACTAAAATTTTTCCCCCTTAATCTCCCAATATTTAAAAAATAATTTCAAATTTATGCATATTTTACCTATATTTACTGAAAATTAATAACATTTGTTTTCAAGTAACAATAATAATATACAAAGTTCAAGAATTTAAACATTTATAATATTAAAAGTTATCTTTATATTATTTCTCAATGGTGTCTTATTGTCAGTATATCTTCATTAATTATTCATCAAATCCAATTATCAACAATTAAGCAATCGTTTTACAGATTATCCTCTTCAGTGCCAAAAAATAAATCCATAACCAGAAAAGAAAACTTTCTTTGCACGAAAAAAGTTTTCAATTTATGCATAATTCGAAAGTTTTATTAATTCTCTACAAAGTAGAAAATAAACAAACCATCAAAATTGGACTATTATGAACAAAGATACCTATTTTAATTTGGTTACATAGTTTGATTTATTATTTTTAATAATAAAAATTGTAAACAAAATAATTAATTCCTTCCATAATATATGGCATTTATTAGGTTGGCAAATAAGTCCTTTCGGTTTTTTTGTTTATTTTGATGTCACTATGATACAGTTGTTATCTGATGAATTAATTCCTAAAGTGGATTGTTTATCCTGTTTCTAATATTTCACCAACTATATCTGTTAACTCTTGTTGAAACTAGCTTAGTATCGTGTTTGCTATTATACTATTGTGAATATGGAAGAAAATATCACTCATTATTGGCATATTTTGTTGTATTATTTTAAAAAAGGTAAGTGTGCTGCAGAAGTTCATAGAAAAATTTGCAGTGTTTATGGGGATGATGTCTTAACTGAACGCACCTGTCAAAATTGGTTTGCCAATTTCATCCAGGAAATTTTGACATCAATGATGCTGAACGGTCTGGTCACCCATATGAAATTGATGCAACAAAATGACCTATTTTTGAAAAGGTTGATAACAGGAGATGAAAAATGGATATTTTATGATAATGTAGTCCATAGAAAATTTTAAAACCCGGATTGCATCCAAAGAAGATAAATGTTTTCCATACGGTTGGATTTCAAGGGTGTTATTTTCTATGAGCTATTGCCATCAGGACAAACAATTGATTCAACTGTATACTAGTCACAATTAACAAAATTGGATCAATCAATTAAAAATAAATGTCCAGAACTGGAAAATCGGAAGGGTGTTGTGTTCCACCAAGACAACACTAGGCCCTACACCTCATTGGTCACTCTCAATAAATGATTGAGCGTTAGAAATCATATTAGAATTTAATTTTTTATAAAAATGAATGGTTTGAAATCGATTTTTAGACGTTTATAATGAAAAGAAGACAATAACATCTCTTTAAGAAACAATATTAATTTAAAGAAATAAAGAAAATGAAACAATATTAATTACATTATAAAACCATTTTATATCTCTTGAATTTTCTGGGAAGTTTTTTTATATCTATTATTTTAAAAGATAATGATAATTATTATTATTTTGTTAATATTTTACAGATTTTTCTCAATATTCAGAACATCTTATTAAGCATATCCATTAACAGACTCCTTTTTTGTTGTTATAAATTACAATTTACATCTTTAGTAGAGTGCTACCATTGGGTAGTTACTCAGCAAGTGTATTCATGTCATTATATCTATTATGTCCAAATTTACTTGATGTATTTATGTAATACAGTTGTAAATGTCATTAAGAAATAAAAAAAAAAAAAAAACATATTTAGTCATATTATTATACATAAAATAATTAAGGAGTATTCTGTTTCATTGCAACAGGTTTGTCATGCCAATAAAATTATATTAATTGTTTTTTTAATATTATAATGAAATTTTAAGGAATTCTAGTAGCCAAAATTTAATCATAGTTAATAACTGTTTATTTCATTTATAGATTGTATTTTGTTGACATGGTCCTTTTTTTGGAAAAACAGTGAAAATAGTAAAACTTAAACTTAAAAGTAGTTTTTAAAAATAATAAATAATGAGACCAGTAATTTTTAATTAAAAAATTATTTTGTATTTCTGGATACATTACCAACTTTTTATTAACTAAATTACTGTACATTATATACACTTTAAAAGTTCCTCAATGTCTACCAACAAAGAGCTTCATCGCTTGAATCACTGCACTCGGTGTATCCGTTGCAGACTCTGGCCGGAGGCAGACATTCGCCCAAAGGGCACCTGTGTCCCGCGCATCGATGAGTGGCGTTTGCTGGAGCATTCGTTGAGTTTTGTAACGTGTCGTTGATCCATTTGAGATATGCTTTGACTTTAGTGTAAACGCCAGGTCTGTTAGCTCGGGCACAGCCGTAGCCGTTTGATGTCACTCCGTGGAGCATCCAATGACCATCAGTTTCCTAAAAGTTTATTTAAAAAAGCTAATTAAATTTAAATTTTATGAAAGATTATTTATTTATGGTAAGAAACAATTATTTAAATCTTTTTTTATTCATATTACGTTTCATAAAAGCATATTAATCTAATGTACGGCCTATTTTACAGTCTGCTGTATCGTTAAGGTGCGTTTAGACATTTCACAAACTATGGGAACCACAATTATCTAACTTAACTAAGAGCGACATTATTGCTAAACTGAACTATTTATTTTATTTCTCTTGATATAGACAGCAGTTGGAAAAAAATCTGATGTGTCTATACAGACGACTTTCCTATCTATTTCAGAAAAGTTTTTATATCTTTACCTATGTCCATGTGTATATAGAAAAAGGTTAGCTTGCCAATTCATACTTGACTTTATTTTAAAATCAAATAGTGTTTAGTATAGTTAATATTAGTCTATACTATAGTCCGTACCTGAGATAAAATAATTATAAATTTCAATTTAATATATTAATACTCTTATAATTTTGTTTATTATTTAACAACCTCTTATTTCTTTTGGAAATATTGTTACAGTATAAAGTGATCTTCCGAGGTTATATTATTAGTTTAAAATATAAGAGATATTTCATATTTATAGATATGTACAGTTTACTGAATCTGAATTTATTTCTGTTTTGAAATTAAACGGTAAATATTTCATAATTTTTTTTCTTCTTTTTTTTAATTTTTTATCTTCCAGGAGTTTCAATCTGATGATTTGATCGATGGCTCTAGTGCTGAGTTTAGAAACTTGCACATTTTATTCTCTATATTAGGTTAAAGTAATTTTTAAAAAATACCTGGCACATTAGGGGTCCGCCAGAATCTCCTAAGCAGGCATCACGACCGCCTCTTTCAAATCCAGCGCAGAACATATTATCTGTAAGACGATAAAGTGGTAAACCGCCAGTTCGTTTCCTGCATTCTGCTGTAGAAATTATTGGTATTTCAACCTCTTGTAGAGTGTCAGCTAAAACAAAGTAACAAATATTATTAAAATTTATAACAAGAAAATAAGAGAAATCAATTTATATCAATTGAAAATCTGTTAAGTAAAATAATTATTTTATTGATATTATCAAAACATTAATTAAAGTAAATAAAAAATTTAAATGCAATTATTATTATTATTATTATAAAGTAATATTCAATATTTATTGAATACTTTAGGTGTCATGAAATATTAAAAACCACCATTTTAATAATGTACCACCAAGCCTAACATCAAATGTAGAAAAGAGAATTTGAGGAAAAGGAGTATTCTTGAAGCATTATTACTTTTAATCCAGCTTTCTTCTAGCAGTAAGCAGCGACTCTTAGCTAACTCTTAGTTGAATGGATTTTCAGTGTTTTCAACTTCTTTATAAATAATTTTACAAGTTTATGTTACAAAACCAATTCATTTTTGAAGAAGAAAGAATAAGAAATATTTCTTGATCGCCAAGGTTACAATTGCAGTTTGGAAGAGAATATGTGCAGTTTAGAAGAATGATGATTCCAATATAAATGTATCGGAGCTTGGTTCATTGGCTTAATAGAAATGGATACTAAAATTGAGTATTGGACTGAGGTAATAAGGTGGAGGTGGTAAAACTGTGTTAATTTTAGTTGTATCATTTGACTGTGATAATTTCAGTTATTGCCATGGCAATTGGTAACCAACACTTGCTCGCAGTTTTTACTTTGTGGGGTGGAACACTGCTGTGCTTCTAGATTATCAAAAAAATTTCAGTGATTAGTTTAAAATTATAATAGTTTATTTATATATGGTGTCTTCAAGGAATATATAAGCCCTTATACTTCAAAGATTTATTCCACTGCAAACGACGTTTCGAGCTGATTTGCTCATTCTAAAGTCATCTACAAATCACAATTAACAACAATGATCATTCATTATCTAGTCATATAAAAAATGAGAACTTACCAAACAATTTTTTTTTATCTACGAAAATATATTTCTGTATTATAATTACATTAAACATTCATATGTTTGCATAAGCATTTGAATTCATAAGCATTGGTAAATGCACAAAAATGAGACAAGGAGTATTTTTTTATTTTTTATTTGGTATACCACACATAAATGTTTATTGAAATTATAATATAGAAATATATTTTCGTAGATAAACAATTTTTTGGTAAGTTCTCACTTTTTATGTGACTAGATAATGAGTAATCATTGTTGGTAAGTTCTCACTTTTTATATGACTAGAGAATGAATGATCATTGTTGTTAATTGTTATTTTTAGATGACTTGAAAATGAGCTAATCAGCTTGAAATGTGGTTTGAAGTGGAAATATAAAGTATAAGAGCTTATATATTCCTTGAAGACACCATATATAAGTAACATTAACTGCCCTTAAAAAGTACTACTGTAGTAGCTAAATAGACATATAAAAATTTATAAGTTAAGGCCATATTCCACCAAAATTTTATTTCTTTTACATTATCACGTTTCGGCCAACGTGATGAGCAAGGGCTATTTTCAAGTCTGTTTATTAAGGAACAATAGGTTCCTTAATAAACAGCATCTTACTGTAGTGTATGGTCTACTTTATAACCACGAAAGTCTTGTGATCGTAGAAAAGTGCCTACCCAGAGAGGATGTATCTTAAGAGACATCGAATGATAAGAATGAATGGGGAGTACAATGAGTTAGACTCAATTATGCAATGAACAAGTTCTGTGGAAATTGCTAAGTGTGCATGTATAGATAATTGGTGAAAAAGAAATGAAAGAGCTTGGAACAGTGTCTAGTAGGCAGCAGCAGCTTTGAGAGAGACATATGGGTGAGTGAGAATACTGGCAAAGGGATGGACGATAGTCGAGAGTTTTACACTATCGATAGTTTAGTAACCTACCGACATAGACTTAAAGAGAATTTATTTTCAATGTATTATTTAATTATTTATTTTAAAATGCTGCTTAAGTTTTATAATAATTAACATTTATATTGGATACATTCTTAAAGCTTTATGATCAAAAAAATTATTGACAGGAAAATACATTTACATAGAAAAATAAATTGCATTTATTTTCCTGATTGTTGAATTCAAACAAGAAATATCGATGATATATAGGTAGTATTGGTTTAACTATTTGGTTAAAAAAGTGTGCGAGAAATGTGTGTCTTAATTTCTAAAATTCTAATTTTCTAAATTTAATTTGATAATAGCACCTAGTTTAAAATATAAAAAAAAACTGTAATGGCATCCTTGTAGATTTTATAATTATGTTTTTTTATGAAAAAAAAATGTGATGTAAATTTTAACATTTTTTTCCATCGGCACAACTGGAGTTGTAAAAATATTTCTAAGGAAGTAATTTGAGATTCAATTATTTTTTTATCATGAAGGCTTCTTCTTGTTCAATTTAGTTTCAGTCTTATATATTGCTAAGAATAGCTTTAAACATGACTTCACACTTCCATCCATTTATTTTCTTAATATGGCGTTTCCATTATACAATAATTGTTTTCCACTATCAAACATTTAATTTGGACATCACGATACTATCAGTAAATTTCGTACATCAATAAATGGGTATAAGAATGAAGACGTGTTATTAAAATTATACCTTTGAGTATATAAAATTTTAAAATAATTTGTGTCTAAAGGCCACCTAACATGGTCAATGTTATTGAATCAATGTAATTGAACATGATACACGCCCATATAATTGCTATAATATATCCCTCAGACCGGCAATATATTTGATATTGACTGTGTAAGGTGCTCTTAAGGGAAGGATACGAAATATCAATATATCTATATATAGTATAATATATATATAGTACAATGGACTATCGCCCATCCCTAGAGTGGCGACTTGAGGCTAAGATGTGAGCAAGAGAGATTGTGATGGCATTTATCTAAAAGAGGAACGTTTTAGAAGAGAATAGAAGAAATATTATAGGACTTATAATCATCAGTCATTATTTGACTAATTTATTAAAATTAATTAGTTGTGTTGGTCAAAAGGGAACATGTGGACTTTTATTTTATTTTTTTACATGTCTCAACATCTTTCAATTAAGCAACTGGGGATTAACAAAACCAGGTTAAACCAATTTCTTCTTTTCAATTTTTTTATTCCTTTTCTCCTCTCCTTTCAGGCTATACGAGATTTTTTTTTTGGGGGCTAAGGGAGAGGGGTGGGGATTAATGTCAGAGTTAAAAGTACCTTCGGCACTGTGATTGGTACTTGTAATCTTCGGTTTATTAGATTGCCGAGCAACACGTGTTTTACACATGTGATAGCCCACTCATCATTCACTTATAATAATTCTTGATTGAGATCAACTCACGAAATAACCTGCCAGCTTCTGATAGCTGCCCCCATCCGATGACAGTACAGAGGCGGCCAGTGCTGATATCAGTAGTAGGAAGGCAAATCGGGCGTACGTGTGCTGTCATCGTTAGCGGCGACTGGAGTCGAAGAAGGCAGATATCGTGGAGGTAGCCCAGATCCTGGTAGCTCGGGTGAAGTAGAATATTAGCTACGTGCCGCAACTGCTCATGCAGAGATGGAGGCCCTCCGCGTCTTAGGACCCCTAATCTTGCGACCCAGTAGTCGTCTTCAGCTCTGAAAAAAAAAAAAAGATTACTTGGCAGTTAACCAAGACGGACACTAATAGATCTCATGCATTTTTCTGTAAATATTCCTAGTATCTCTGCTTTTATTTATTAAATTAACCATAAGACTTTCCCAAATCATGCGAAAATCGAACACATAAACATATATGGGATATTGTCAACTATTCTCAAGCAGATTTGTAAAATAAGCAGCTTAAACATATAGTTTTGTAAATTAATTATTAATTTAGGTACCTTATCTTCAAAATTCTTATCAACAAAGGCCATTCTAAATTATAAGGCCAGTGGTTTAGCCAGAAAATCAGAAAGCATGCTCCACTCCTAGGAGAGAAACATATTGAGAAGAATATGGGAATGAGTACCTGAGTTCACAATCAATCAAAATCATAAAAAGTGGAATAAAATAAAAATGACTCCACGTATCCACACTAAAATTTACATTAAATTAGGACTACATAAGCTACACGAAATGACACAAACCAGACCCCTGTAAATATAATAGAACTAGAGATATAAAACAAAAACCTTTGAGGAGTTTTTCTTTATTTATTGTTTTTAAACGCGTCAAATCTAAAAGTTATTGATATGGTGTTGAAGAGTAATAACTCAGCTTTCCAACGATTATAGATAGATTGAATTAGGAGAAAATCCTGAGGAGTTATGAATCATATACTGAATAGCAGGGGGAAAAATGAAATAGAAAGACAAACCGTGTTCCTATGGCAACGCAGTCAACAGAACATTGCTATCCCTAACTGTATCATTACATCCCCACATATATTAATACAGAAAGGCTCGAAATCGGTTTCGTACCAAATATAAGCTCCTGTCATGCTCAAATAACATGAATGGGGTTACCGTTGGATTCAGAATTTCACGGGGGGTTAGCGAATCGTATTCTCAGCTTTTGTTTTTCTTTCTAAAATAAATAAAGTCGATACAAACATTTTGTTAGGCTTCAATACTGGAACGGTGGTAGGTCTGTAGAACGATGTGGGACAAATTGGACCTTGAAGATTTTGATGCATACAGCAAGACCCGGATAGTTCCTCTGGAACTATCGGATCCTGTGTTTTTAAGCCCAAAAACGTACTATTTTCGAGATAACGCAAGGCATGGGGTTCACGTCCACACAACCTGACGTTAATTGTAGTACTGTCATTGGATATATGTCTCATTTCATCGGTTTGAGGCCTCTATGATCAAGACAGGAGGAGTTTATATTATTTATCGATGGTGTTTTTGATCGGCAAGCCATATCATCGTTAATTCTTCACCAAATCTCAAGGTTGAGCCACTAATTTTGAAGGCTTCCTTCTCCTTCAGGCGGGCAAAATAGTCCAATCACCCCGTAAAATTGAGGCAAACAAGTTACGAAAGAAAACAAACTTTATTTGCAAATAACTAAAAAATTACACACTTTTACCTAAATTTTCTACAAAAGGAAAAAAAAATCATCGAAATCGGACAATTTTTCGCAAAGATACAGCTTATTGAAATTTGTAAATATGTTGGTTCCAAACAAAAATGAAGATTTAAATTAATTTTGTTTCCTTTGTCGATTATGTTTATCGATAAAGTAACAATTGATTCCTTTGTCTTTTGATACGTTGCATTATTTTCTTTTCTTATTAATTTGGCATTAGATAAGAATATGCTGTGCGAATTTTTCGCACGGGCCTACTTGTATGAATATAATACAATAAATATGAATACAAAGATAGGAATTATGAGAAGCCTTATCAGAATTATCAGTGTTCAGGTTATAAACATTATTGGCAGATAGCAGTCGGTCCTGTCCGGCTAACCGACCGGACAAGTACCCTATCTTGGATGAAGGATAAGTCAGGATGCCCTCAGGAGTCCTTGGAGGGAGGGCATCTCTGACTCTTGGAGAGGTGAGGAAGGGAGAGCAGTGGGCTGATAACCTCCCCTTAAACAAACTTATTATAAGATCTCAATGAGATAATGGACATAGACCGGGACATTATCATATGAGTAGACCAATATACACCTCGGTTTGTTGTGCCACAGAAATAAAAAAATAGAAAATCAGCAATTTCAATCTTATATACATTCTTTATCACTCGACTTCTATTGCAGGTCAAAGTTACATGATTTTTTTTTTTTTTTTTCATGCAGGTACCCACTTTATTTATAAGGATTTTCTGGGTTTTCCAAATCAACTGAGAGACGAAAGGCAAAAAGGATAAAAACAAATCTGCTGGTTCTCTCATAGTCATTTTGCTATTATATTAGTTGTTCCAATAAACCATAAAAGAATCTATTTTTCATGTATTCTTTTTTTTTTTTTTTTTTTTTGTGTTTTATGAAACATATATGCACAACAGAAGCATATTAGTAGTTTCATATAAATTGGACATAAAAAGCTCTAAACGACATTTGAGACTTTGGACCCTTTAACAGCATGCTCTAGTGGCATACTCTAGTGGCTTACTGGAAAAAAAACAAAACTTTACAGACATAAAATGTAGACAATTTTGTTTATCTGTAATCTCTTAGGAAAAAAATAATAGTTTTTGAGATATAGGTGAACGAATAAATGTGGGCGGGGTGGCCCAATAGGCTAACGAGTGTGCACAGCACCGCCGTTGCCCAGCAACCTGACATATGAGACAACAATAAAAAATAGTTCCGAGTTCGCATCCCGGTGGCGGGGGAGTCTTTTTAAATCCCCGCCCACACTCCCTGGCCCGGGAGAACCCCGTATAGCCTTAAAGGCGAGGAAGGGGAGGACCGAAAAAAAAAAAGGTGAACGAATAAGAAAATTTAACAATTAAAAAAAAAAAAAATTTCAATAGATGGGTAATTAGTCAACTGATCAATTATAAGGATGAAAACAAATTGTCAGAAATTTAAGTTGAGATTTTTATTGGGTTAGCCAATAAAAATATTGAATGAAATCCAAAAACAATTCTAGGAAAAGTTTCTGTCAGCAAATTTTGATTTTTGTTTAGCAACCCAAAAAAAAACTTGGGAGTACTATGTTATAGTCCCCATCCACAAGAAAGGAAGTCAAAGTGATTGTTTCGACTACAGAACTATTTGCCTGTCTCCAGTGCTTTACAAATTATATACTTCTATTCTAGAGAGTTCCAGTTAAGACCAATGGTGGAGCCTATTCTGAAGAAAGAACAAAGTGCTTTTAGGCCCAACAGACAAACACAAGGTCATATACTTACTTTGTGAAATGCAACAGAGAAGTCCTGAGTTCATGAAAGGAAGGTATATCTGGCATTCTTATACCTGAAGGTGGCATTCGATTCAGTACTTCGGAAAGAAATTTGGAAATCCTTAATGACAAAGAGCATTCCTCAAAGGCTCTTGAATCCTATAAAGTCAATGTACCAGGAGCCAAAGGATGTAAAACAAGGCGACTCTCCAAGTCCTCTTCATCCTTTATATGGATGAGATTGCCTCCATTTGCAAAATACACATGGGCCAATGAAACCTACATCCTGTAGTAATACAGTTTCTCCTGTTTCCTAACAATATCGTCCTTATTGCAGAATCCCCAGAGCAACTTCAGCAGGTAATGACGGAGTGGAATGAGGAACTGAAGAGAAAGGGAATGACTATTAATTCCAAAAAAAGTAAAGTTCTTCAAGTTGGTAGAACTCAAGTACTTCTCTATGGAGTGGAGAGATGGATTATGAATGAGAGCCTATTAAGCCACATTACTGCCACGGAAATGAAGTTTCTAAGGAAAATTTCGGGGGAAACATGGAGGGACTGTGTTCAGAATGAGAGGATTAGAGAAGAGCTTAATGTACGCCCGGTAATGGAAATCCTGGAAAAGAGGCAACATCACAGAAACTCAATCAAAACGATGGTAAGACCGATAGGAAGAAAGAAGACCAAGAGGACAGCCAAGAACCTCCTTTATTACACACATGAAACAGAAACGGACAGCACTGATGGCTTGAAGCACCCTCATGTTGAAAGGCAAATGGGTGGAAGAAAAAGAAGAAGAATATCCAAAAAACTTGGGTGCACCAAAATTTATGCCTATAACAAAACTTTCAGATATTTTTCCTTAATTGTCGAAGACCATTCATCTTCTTCATAATTAATTAACTTTTTTCCAAACCTATAAAAACAGTGTGCTGCTGAGATGATCCACTGGTCAGAGATGAGCGTGCCTCCACATTGAAATTCTCCCTCTTTGTAAAGCGCAGCCTGCCACGGCCAGGAACCAGGTCCGGCATTTCCTCCTCCAACTATCCGCGACTTCCTCTCACTGAAAAAATTATAGAAGATGATTCAGCCAACAAGAAATGAAGGTTACAATTTCATATTAAAAACAATTATAACTATGTTATGTTGGTTGAAGAAATTTTAAAACAATTTTATAATGTATTCAATTTTAATAATCCTTTAAGGATTTTATTAAATTTGAAACACTCAAATTTTTTAATAACCAAATCATGTTTTACAAGCTTTCGGAAAGCGCCATATGAGCTTAGTGTCTAGGGATCAAAATATTTTTGAGGAGCAATCATTGGGTCTGGTCGGCTTATACCATCCCACCCTGACATTTAAGTGGAATAGGTTTGCAAAATTACGGGAATTGAATTGAATGGAAATGTAATGGATTTTATTCAAAATAAGGGACAGATTTACATTGCAATTTATCTGATAAATATGATTATTTCTCGTAGTTCTTATTAAATATTAATTACAACAAGCACTTCAAAAAATTTAAAGAAAGCTGAAGATTTTAGAAAAAATAAAATCTGGCATAAAAAGTCATAGACGGTAACGGAAGGTGATAAAAAAATATTGTAATTAATAATTTCTGAAAACAATGAATATTGTGATTGTATTTAAAGTGATTTTTTTAGACCCCTTAAAATCGCAGATAGGACATTTATTTAAATTTTTGTTCAGACGTTAATTGATTTTCAGAATGAAATTTTTCATGTGAGTTCAGTGACTGATGATTTTGGTTTTAAAAGTCTTAAAACATTCATGACACTTAAATATTTCATCATTAATACAGTGAACACTTTTTATATGTCTTTTTAAACTGTCCTTATGTCCAAAAAATTTATTATATGCATTACAGACATACTGTAATTGTTTGGCATGAATATTTATGTGTCTTTCAAGACTGAATTCTTGGAAGCACACACCCTAACAATATTTCTTTTGTTTGTCATGAATCAATGAGCGTCTCACCCAATTACTTTTTTCTTTACAAATGGTTTATTGCAACTTTGCTAGTAAAACTTTGAGTCTTCTACGGTAATAACAAAAAAATTAAGGTAATATTTTAAAATCAGATCAATTTATAAAAAAAAGCTATAGTTAAAAAAATGAACAATGGATAAAAAAAATTAATAATAGTTGAAAATAGAAAACCATTGATAAAAAAAAAGAAAGAAAACGATGTGTTAAAAGTAAAATTAAAGTAGAGAACACAAAGAGAAACGTCAAGCACAAGAGCTATAGTAGGTTGAACAGAGACGGGAAGGGGAGAACGAGCATTGACGGTATAAGCCGACCACACCCGATGATTGTTCTGCTCAAAAATATTTTGTTCCCCTAGAAACTGGTCCATATGAGAGCTAATATAACTTGATATTTCATCAGATATTTGAGTTTCTGCTCATTTTTAAAATGTTTTATTATTTTAAAATAAATTTCGCATTAAAATAGTTTTCTGCAATATAAGCTTGTTAACACTTCCTTCATCGTGATTAAAGCAGAATAATAAAGTTTTATAGAGTTCGATGGGTTACATATTGAATTGCAGAAAATAATATCCTACAAAATAATAAATACCCATAGAAAACAAAATAAGGTCATTATTTTGTTATAATAATAATATAATTATTATCCAATTATTAATTGGAGAATACTCACCTTAACAACAGAGCATTGTTGGTAGCTCTCAGTCCGCAGCTCAAGTTTTTACACTCGATCGTAGCTATTTCCTTTTCTGGACATGTCGTTTCTTCGAATACATATTTAGCACTGTTTTAAGGCAATCAAAATTAAAACAGATTAGCTTTGCCTTGAATCATACTAATAAAAAATCTGTAAAATGGTTAAATACTTAATCCCCAAATAATTTTAAAATTATTAAAAATTAAATAGATCAAAAATTTCATTCCTTCCTTCAAATTTTAAATTTAGTCCTAATTATAGGGAAGGTGTCCTTGACCAGCGCACTGCGCAGCATTGGTTTGAAAAATTTAGCAGTGGAGATACGACATTGGAAAGGAAGGGCTTGGGGCAACCCTCAATGGATATTGATGAGGTTCTGCAGGAAGCTGTTGAGTCCACAAGTATTTGATTTATTGTAAATACAAAAGTATACTTCAAAAACTCAATAAAAAAAACAAACAACTATATATTACATTACCTTATGTTTGTTGTTTGATATAAGTTGTGCGTGACTGATGTTATTTCATAATAAATATTTTTTTCATGATTTGCCTCTTCATTTGATTCTTTTACACGATGAATTGATACTAATTTCCTAAAAAAATAAATAAACAAATAATTAGATAGAAATATATTACAAAGTATTGAGTTGGCAAATAAGTCCTTTTCAGGGTGAAATAAAACTTAATTTATAGACATAAAATTTATTTCAATCTACAATATATTGACAATTATTTAATAGGACCTTTTCCCATCTTTCCACTAACTGCAAAATGACATGTTCATAGAATGTCTAGAGTTTATTGTTAAAAAACTGATCCAAGTGGTTTTTTTATGTCCTCTTTCTTTTGGAATTTTTTTCCCATTCATGGAGTTCTGCAGAGACTGGAATAAGTGTTCACTTAGAGCTAGGTCTGGTGAATAGAGAGGGTCGGGCAAAAGATCCCATCCATGGCTCAATAATTAACTGCGAGTGACCAATGAGGTGTGGATCCTAGCGTTGTCTTGGTGGAACACAACACCCTTCCTATCATTCATAACTCATTTACAGATTTCCCATGATGTGAGCCGAAACCTCTTGAGCACTTAATTTGGGATTTTTTGCCACTTTAAACAGTTTCACGAGATTTTTGCACAGTTAACAAGAGTTTTCTCCCTAGACAGGATTCATTGTTCACTGATTCGGATTTAAATTTTTTTATAATGTATTTCACTGTCGAATGAGGTAGTCTGAACTTTTTCCCAATATAACGCAAACTTAAACCCTGTTGAAAATGTTTTACGTGATCTTTAAGATGAGAACTCAATTATTTGGACCAATGACCCATTGCTGAAGAAATATGTTTTAGTACTGAACTAAACAAGCAATTTCTAGTGCAGTTTTGCTTTTAATCTTCTGGAGTAATGGATTATAAACAGAAGGTTAAAACACTGTTTTAATAACATAAATTATCGTATCAATAACATTTTCTTTAGTGTAGGAATAATTTTTTTGTGTACAAATTATTGAAATATTAATAGCTGTATGAGATTTTCAATTTTGGGACTACATAAAATAACGAAAAATGAAGTTTATAATTGTTATCTGTTATTGTTTCAAGTTAAAAAAATTATAGTGAACCATTTTGGCCAAAAAACGGGATGTACAAATACTTTTTTTGCCTAATGTACCAAGTATTTTCTCTCTATATTTGTTGCTATCCTACAGAAAATTCATCATAGATAACTAAAATGGTGAAAAAAGCTGAGAATGAGCAGTTTCATTTGAGAAATTTAAATTTTAATGATAAAATAAAATTGGTTTTCTTGGCAACATATTGAGATGTGACTAAATGGTTAGCAGCATTAAACTACATTTTTGATATATCACCTACCTCCTCTTTAATTACTTATGTTTCCCTTTGTGAAATTCAGTAGAAATAGATTTAATTTTATAGAAAGTCCATTTATTCAATAATCTAATACAGTTTTACTTACTGAAACGTAAGAGCATTGCATATCGAATGGCCAAATTCTTGTAAATCTAAGTCTTTGCTGGAATTGTTTATGTTATTACCAAAATTTTGCAGGCATAATTTTCCCCATACACCATTCTTTTTTAATATTAGATGACCTTAAAATAACAATTAAATATTAATACATAATAAATAATATGGATGAAGTGTAGCAATACATAATAATTTATAATTGATACTAAAAATTACCTTTTTCATTATAAGCATCAGAAGTACCATTTTTAAGTGAAATACAATTTACTTCATCATCCCCGTGAGGGCAATGAGGGACTCCGTCGCAAACCTTTTTTTGATCGATACATAGCTTTGCATTTGAACATGGATAATGATGATCAGATTGACACCAATCTAAAAAAGTTCAATTCAGAAGAAATTTTCAGTAAATGAATATATTCAACTAGAAAAAATGGAATAATATGGAGCTTAGGCTATAAGAGAACAATGCTTCCATGTGTTCTACCATATTGGTTAATGAGGTGTATGATCATTAAGTTGGCAATTAAACATGAAAATTCAGTCTCTGATATTAAATTATAATTTAACATCGATGGGTACAAAACATCACTGGGCCCTTTATGAGAAATATTTATTTATAAACTGTTTTAGAGATGGGTAAGTAGTTGACTGATGAATTATAAGGATGAATCAAAATTGTCAGGAATGTCAGTAAAAATTTGTTTAATAGGTTAGCCTAGGTTTAACTTATAAAGATAAGGCTAACCCATTAAAAAAATTTAGACTGACATTCTTGATAATTTTCTTTCATTTTTATAAACAGTTGTACTGTTATTTACAAAGTACTTGGTAATTTTCTTGTAAATTCAACATTTCGATGCAAAGCTGTTGATATATCATTTATGCCTCAGGCGCATAAATACAAACCAGCCAAATCCAGTTTACAATTTTTTTTCCTAGATATTTTTTTAAATAGTTTTCGTATTGGATTATTAGGTGATGGAAATATTTCACATTACTAATAATTTAATTTTTTTTCTTAAAATTTTCATTTATATGTCTTTCTAAAAGATAATCATTCACTTTATTTTTAGTTTTTCGTTCCTACATTTCAATTTACTTTTTAAGCCTTAACCATTCTAACATATTGTAGTAAATTGTTTACATAATATTGTGACATAACTTACTTTTATAATATAAATAATAAGTGCTGTAATGAATTATGGTATGGCTCAATATATTTTATATTTATAAAACATTTTTATTGTTTTAATTACAATGAATATATGGAGTTAACTATTACATAATTATGAGAAGGAATTGGTCGGGAGGTGTGGTTAAATAAATATTATGCGGCTAAATAAATTTTAAAAATAGAATTTTTAATTACGCCGACGTTTCAACCCACCTTGGAGGTCTTCATCAGGGCGTGGCATGTGGCGCTGCAGGAGGCAGTTGATAGACTGGCCAATCTAATAATAATGGCCATCTGAAGATAATATAATGGCAATCTGGTAATAATGGCCAGTCTATCAACTGCCTCCTGCAGTGCCACATGCCATGCCCTGATGAAGACCTGCCTGCAAGGTGGGTCGAAACGTCGGCATAATTAAAAATACTATTTTTTAAAATTTAGTATTTATTTGAGCACACTCCCTACCCATTGCTTCTCGTATTATATCACGGTCAACCATCTCTACATCATTATTACATAATTATATGTAATATCGGATATAGCGGATTTGGCTGTAAATTTAATTTTTGAATATTAGAACAGTGCTTGAATTTATACAATATTTAAGGCACCGATATCATAAATTGATGATTTCATTTCAATTATGTTAGTAAAGTTGATAGATCTCGGAGATAATATAAATATAAAAACCTGTACCAACAACTACAACCCATGAAGGGTCTTAGGTCCAGTAGTATGTGAGGAAGTACTGTTGCAAGGCCAACATTTGTGCAGAAAGATGGATGATTAGGCCAAGATCATGCTCAACCGCCAGGTTTTTCCCCTTAATTAATTATTTAATTAAGAGCACCCACTTTATAGAGGCTGGATATGTCCCAGGAGGGTCTCCCGACCTTAGGGGTTGATCCACGACTGATGAAAAATTACTAGTCATGATGACTAGTAATGACTAATATAAATATATATTGAAAATAAAATTGAGCAAAAAAAATCCACTAACCACAACCAGTTTCATCTGATCTATCTGCGCAATCATCGATACCATCACAAATTTTAGTGGCTTGTAACTGAGCCTTTAAAAGTTGCGCACAGGTGCAGTTCTTCTCATCACTGGAATCCCTACAATCGGCCAGCTTGTTACATCTCAGCTGTAGAGGGATGCATTCTCCAGATTTACACAGCATAGCATTCTCACCACAATCTAAAATGATAATACGTATATCATATAAATAGGTATATTATATAAAAACTATGTATAAATAAATAAAGTTGTTACTAGATCCATTCATTACACTTATGAGCTGGTTGTAATGGGAATGAATTCAGAATTAAAAATAAATGAAATGAACATAATTTCAAGATTGTTAATAAGTATTTAGTTGACTTAAAATAATAGAAGCATCTAGAATAAATTTAAACTAATTTTTTTTAATACGATTTGACAACTTTGCTATGGTTTGTGCTATTGATTTGTATCATTTTTTTAGAAACAAATGTGCTAAGATTGACAGTGTTATTATTTTAATAAAATAAGTTTTAAAGTTTAGATATTTCCACCATGATAAAGTAAATAATGGGGATAAAGCTATTTTTCAGATCAAAAATAAAACATCACTTTTTCTTTCAACTTCTCCATTTTGAATCTCTGGGTCTTTTTAGTTATGTGAACAATTATTTACTGTTTAAATGAATATAATTATTTATACTTATTTTTATTTAATTTTTAATTAAAAATAATTAAGAGAAAAAAAAAAAGAATTTTTGTGATTTATTTATTATCTCTCTAGTTGTTTTCAAAAATTTATTTAAATGAACGATGATTTATTTTTAAAATTAATTAAGATGATTATTTTTTTTACATGTTTTTTTTTAATTGAAGAATAAGTATATGTTGTACATGGCAAAACATACCCATTGCTGTAAGATGAAGAGATTAAAATAACAATAACAACGTCTATCTATCTATAAAATTTTATATTGAAAAAATACTTCTGATAAATTAATGAAACTAACAAATTTGAAAAGTGTAATTTTTTTTTACAATCCTTTCCTAAATGCAAGAAAGAAAGAAAAGTAAATTTTATTCTGGAAAATTAATTAAATGATAGTGAGGATGTAAAGATTTAATTTATGACATTTCCTCTTAACTGTATAATTTTGTACTATCATGTAAGGGAAGTAGAAAATAACAATAAATAATTGAATGAGATCAAATTGTTATTGTAGAATTTTGGAAAACTATTTCATCGTAGTATTATGAGGATTGTGCATCCTGCTGAAAAGATTTCAAGGTTTCTGAAAATGTTTAGTTTTTGTTGTTATAGGATTTTGCAGTATGGCTATAAATATGTTTTTTTTTTTGTTAAAAATAGTAAGGACTTAACTATTCAAAACCAACTCTAAATAGTTTTTGGATATTTCGTAGATTATTTTCCTTCTGCAAAATACCTTTCAATTGAGGAAAAATAAAAACTTCAAGTTATTACTTACCATCAGGCTGAGGATCAGTGGTAGCGTTGATAACATGCCGGTGCGGTTGAGACGGAGCCTTACTCAATACTTTTGTCATTAAAGTAAATGGTACGTTGCTGTGATGACTGTTCGCTACGGCCTTGTGCGACACCTTCAGCTTTGCCAGCTTGTCGAGACCCTCGGTCATTTCTTTTATTGACACTGCAAAAATTAGATCATGTCAACTTGAAGATCTTACAAAATCATGTTATTGTCTTGTCTCACATGAAATAATTCAGGTCATCAGGGCTAAGAAAAGACCAGATAACAATATGAGAAAATATTAAATGATTTTTTAAATTTTCTTTTATTTACTGAACACCCCAACCAACTTCTCTTCAACTTTTTTTTTGTTTGTTTATTCAATTTTTTTGGGGAAAATATCGGTTTCTGAGAGTCAAAATTTATTACAAATATATAATATATAATAAAAGATTCAACTAGATTTAATAATTATTAAAAATATCTTCAGATATTAGCTATAAAACTTCTTTTAATGTTATAGTTTGAGAAGTTAATAAATTTTATTAAGGAATTAATCTGAAATGCAGAAACAGCTTAATTAATAGATAATAGATCTGGCGTATACAAAGCTGTAAGACTGATGCAGCTTTTAATTCATGAGGAAATTATAAAATTTCATAGATGTATAGAAATTAATGGATTCCAACTACCAATATATATGTACGTAAATATTACATAGTGATTTTAAATAGTAGCGCGAAGGCAGTGACGTCACAAACTACTGTCAAAAATGCACAAAGAGGCAGAGAATGACAGATCAAGAGGGAAGAAGAGCCATATGCTAAGGCAGAATGTAGTCAGCCGGCTAGTAAAGAGGATCGAGAGAAAAAAATGTGAACAACAAGTAGTGAGAGTCAACAAAGAAAGAATAGAAGATTGTAGAAGTTGAATACAACAAAACAGAGGAGGAGTGCAGATCAGGATGAGTGAAATATAAATAGTGACAGTTCGACCCAAGAATAGATCCCGACAAAATGAATGGAAATTCATAAATGTTACAGAAAATTAATGTATGCTTTTATATTGTTTAATTGAGAATGTGTGTTTGTTGTCTCAACACAACCTCAGAAATAATTATTGTGTAAAATAAATATATTTTGATTCAGAAACTGTTTTGTTTACTTTTCAAGGGAAACGCAACCTAACAATATACATATATATAAATATACAGTTTTTAAAACAATATTATTAAGCAACTTAAATAACAAAAGAAAAGACATTTTTATTAAAACATTATAAGTTTAACACTTTACCAGGTGATAGCGTAGTCTGTCGCTCTTCGGAAGTTTTGCTGGACATGTTCATGAATATTTCCTCCAATAGCAGCTTCATTTCTGCTTCAAGCCCTGCGCTGAAGTTTTGAAAAGTAGGGATGTCAACTGATTTCGCTCGTCTATGATTTTTGGGCTTCTGGCTAAAGGGAAAAAAAAACATTGTATTAGATATTGGTCTCTAAATTTTTAATTTGAAAATATAAGGGGCTTCCAACTTCTGGGTAGAGATATGACTTGAGATTAATTAAGTTGATAAATTAAATAAGGATTCCATTGAAAAAAAAAATTAAGAACTATAACCAAGTTATTATTGCAAAAATATTACTGTCTTTATAGCAGTTTTTTAACTGTAATAATGATAATAAAACTATAGTCAGGATCATTTCATATTTTGTCTGAAGGTTCACTCAATCTAATGCAGAAATCCACATTGATACTCAAATAAATGAGTATTATTTATTTCTAAATAAATCAGTAGTATCATATAATCAAACAAATAATGAGTAGTGGCCTCAATTTGTATAAGATTGATCTCCATAAATTAAAAACAGATCAATTTTTTAATATTACCTCAATGTCGTAGGACTTCCGAGAAAGGGCTCTACTGAAGTACCATGAGGAGATGTCTCTCTTGAACTTTCTGTTACAAAATCTTCTGAGAAATAACTTTGAAGAGAAAGCTTTGGTTCTTCTTCATAGGGTCTGAAAAAGAAAATTATAATTTAAAAAAAAATTATTCTCATCCTTCCCTTCAGTAACTTAATTATATTAAGGACTAGATCCAAGAAACATCAAATTAACTTACGTTGGAGGTTTTGGCCTCAACGCTGGTCTGACAGCAACGTTAGACCGGACTGGTAGTAACGTGACAATGTCTGGAAATTCTCCCACGATAGGCAGATTAGGTACCTCCTGGACCACTTCTGCCTCTCCCTGGAATCCTCTTCCCTCACTTGCCGATGGATCATTTACTGGGCGCCATTCTTCTTCTTTTACTGATTGTGTGTTTTCTTTTTCAGAATTTTCAGTCTGAAAAAATCATGAATAAAATGTTTTATCAACTTTACAGTCTATAAATGGGAAATTATAAATTTATCCTAAAATTTCACTTCAACATTCATAGAGGAACATAGTAAGGAGGAAATAAAAATAGTCATTCGAAAATTAAAATCTTAAAGCAGAATTGATAATATAAATTTATAATTTATAATAATATAATTGTTAAATAAATTAAGCAATGCAAAGAACTTGGAGAAGGTGTATAATGTTTTAATTGTGTATGGAATTAAAAAAAAAAAAAAAATCTAGTAAGGAAGTGCAAGGCTGAAAAATTCAATAAAGTTAGAAATAATAATTATTTTTCCCAGATGTTTTAGGTCCAGGGGTCAGGATGGCCAAACGAGCTAACTCGTGTGTGAAACATGGTTGTGTTGCCCGGCAACCTGATAAACCAAAGATTATAACTTAGAATTCCAGTGCTGGAGAGACTTTTAACTCTGGAATTAATTTTCCACCCTTTCACCTGACCCGAAAAAAATTTGTATAGCCAAAAAGGTGAGGTAAGAAATAGGAAAAATTTTTTTTTTTGAGATCCGTTCATGTTTAAAACTAAGCTATTTCATTTTATTCGTCTTATTTAATTTAGTACTATCAGAATATTTTATTAGTAAGATCTAAATCAAGAGGTCAGCAAATGTTGTCTATTTAATCAGGTACTAAAAATTCGTAAATACCTATTTGCTTCTCACTTGGGTCGCAAGATTATTTGATCACAAAATCGATAAAAAAGGTGGCCTACAAAAATACTAGGCCGTTTGGCCAACATAACCTCGTTATTTTGACAATTTGGGGGTGTAGGTCACGCCAAACGGCACAATATTTTTGAAGGCCATCTTTTTTCTTTTTGTGCTCAAGTTATCTTACGATTCAAGTGGAAAACAAATGGATATTTACGAGTTTTTAGTACCTAATTAAATAGACTAAGTTTCCCCCCCTTCAGATTGAAAACGCCCCAATTCCGACAATATTCATAAATAAAATATTTGTAGATTACGACGAGATAAATCTATTTATGAAGTTTCAGGCGGATGTTAATAATTTGATAAAAAGGGGTCTGTACCACGGACTATAAACAATGACTAGTGGTATTCACATCAAACTTTAGGGTTTGCTAAGTCTTTTATTATTAATTTATCAGTCCAAGAAGTTTATCCCGTACCACCTCTACAAATTGAATACTCTAAATGAGAATAGAAATAATTCAGGGGGTTGGGATTAAATACTGACCACAGTGACTAATAATTCAGCTATTGGTCTAAAAAAAAACAAAATTTCTTATCAAGAACCAAAACCAAAGCAAAACTCCAAGTCCCTTGATGGATGCTCTATATAGAGGTTTTAAGGTACAAGAGAGATGTTTATAGTTTTTAAACTATAACTGAATATTGTAATAGTGAATATACCTAATTATATATCGTCGGTTTATTGCAAAAAGATATAAAATGACACTTCTTAACCTTAAATAATTAAAAGAAGGAGATGGTCCAGGGGTTGCGGTCATAAATAGGCTAAATAGTGGTAAAACTAAAATAAAATAGTTTTACCACTATTTAGCCTATTTATGACCGCAACCCCTAGACCATCTCCTTCCTTTATAATGCAACGGTCAACTGTTAAATAATTAAGAATTTGTTGTAACTATATTTGGTGTACAAATGAGTTTGTTTCATATTCATGTCCTTACGGTGTTTTTGTAACGATAAATAAAGTCGTAATTCATAAAAACATTTTTTGAAAGTTAACATATATCAAAAATGGACCTAGTGGACATTTTGCAATAAAGTAACGATATGACCAATGTAAATATATTTACTGAATTAATCAATCAATCATGAAAATAAATAAAGATTATCTAGTGTGACTATTTTCTGTAATTTAAATATAAAAATATGCAAGCATGCTGTTCAGGGATCAACCCTCTGAAACACAAAAAACATGAAGAAAACAATTCTATATAATTTTGGACTTCACCACCATTTTATTGGCCTCCATTTTGATGTAAAATTTTCCTGCACAGTTAATCCCAATCATTGATAAAGTGTGCACACTCGCACATTTGACCAAAACTTATCCTATAAAAAAATGAGTTATTAAATCCTAAGAAGGCGGGAGGAAATATGGGGGGGAAGAAGATGAGGCCAAGAAATGAAGCTCAATTTTAAACACCAAGTGAGATCAAATTAACCATGCAGTTTCAGTCCGAAGCGAAATTACTTCAAACATTGCAATGACATACTACAAAATTGCAAAAGTGTACAAATTATTTATTTATTATTTTGTTTTCATTACATACAATTATAATCATTTGTTGAATTTAATCATATATTAAATTTCCGCGATCCAACGACCTCATACAGGCCACACCAACCAATTCTTACAATAACCAGCCCACTATAATCACCTATAGGACAATGGGTGATATTTGGCTCAAACCAAATTATAGTGACCAAGGACACAAATTAAATAAACTTTAATTTTATTTAATACCAACCACTCTTAAAGGAGGAATATTTTCTCTCTTAGTGGACGTCGGTTCTAAGCGTAATTTTTTCTTCGGCACTGTTTGCAGGTTCTGAGTCTCCTCTTTATGATTCGGAACTTGATCTCTTTCTTGTAAGTACCCTGAAAATAGATTGAAATATAGTAACAGGCTATATATACAAACAAACCATACTGTGACAGAACAATAATTATTTATTGAATATTTAATAGTTGACCATTGCATTATTGAGGAAGGAGATGGTCCGGGGTTGCGGTCATAAATAATAGTGGTAAAACTATTTTATTGAAAGCTGACGTTTCGACCCGACGTTCAATTGAAAATATTCTTCCAATCTCTCCTGTAGATCTGTAGAAGTATATTCACATTTGCATTTATTATATATTATACTACAACAATTGTTAGCATCTATTTACTTCAGTTTAGGATCTTGTTGCTTAGCTTACTTTGTTCATATTTTAATGTACTTACTGTTTATAATTTTAATAATCTTATTCACATTGTTTATAAATTTTGTCTAAATATTATGTAACTGCCACAATTCTCTATCTTTTTGTATCTTGTCCGTTCTAGCATTGAAAAAGACCTGCAAAGTCGGGTCGAAACGTTGGCTTTCATTAAAATAGTTTTTCCACTATTTAGCCTATTTATGACCGCAACCCCGGACCATCTCCTTCCTTTAATAATTATTTATCTATTTAATATGAAATTTTTTTTTTAATGGTGGGTTACTAATGGCACAACTTAAAATTAATTTTTGTTTTTACTTTTTTCTTAGGGAGTGGGGTAGCTCAGTGGTAGGGCACTAGGCTTCCAATGCTCAAGGTCCCAGGTTCGAATCCCGGCTCATGGCAGAAAAATTATTTATTCTGTTTCATTGGCTGTAGGGTGACTCAGGGGCAGGGAGATCCTCCAGGGTCGTACCCAGTCTCTACAAAATGGGTACTATTAATTAAATAATTGATTAGGGGATGGTTGAGTGTGATTCTGGCCTGATCCCCTCTCTGCACAACCGTTGGCCTTGAAACAGTGCTTTCCCTAAATATTACTGAACCCAAGACCCTTCATGGATTGTAATGGTACAGGGTCTTTTTTTTTTTCTTTTTTTTTTTTTTTTTTCTTTTGTGTAACCAGCTAGTTGATTTTTGTTTCTGTTGGGTTTACATACATTGCAGCTCTTTGAAGGCCATAACCACCCTTCTCCATTTCTGTCTATTTTGGGCTACTTCTTTCCAGTTCTCTTCGCGGTGTTCTACTGCATCTTTGTTGATTCGATCTATCCATCTGCTTTTTGGCCTTCTATGTAGTTCCTTGCCTACTATTGAGGCATTCATTGTCGCGTAGAGAGAGATAAATATCCCACCCTTCTTAACCTGCTTTCCTGTAAATCATGGGGTTCTGATTGACTAGTTTTTGTAATTAGTTCTTAGTACTCTGATCCCATATCACTCCAGTTATTATAAGGAGGGTTTTCCTTTCAAATCTTTCAATTATTTTTTCAAGGGTGATCAGAATTGCCTTTACCATTGCATTGGTACACTCTTGATTTCTATAGATTTTAATACATAGTTGATTATGATTACTCAAAAATGAATACTTGATAACTTTTTTGTTTGGCTATTTTCCAAAGAAACAATATGTAAACATGTATATGGGAAATTAATTTTACTAAAACCTCTAAAAATAATTTCTCTCAATTAAACAACAAATTGACGACTGGCAGACAGGAAAAAAAGGGGTGAAGACTTGAGCTATATTCAAGAGAACAGCACCTTTATCGTAAAGTCTTTTTTCCGGAAGCGGTTTGTGGATCCCTCTCGAGTTTGCGTTTACCAAACGCATCTCGGAAAAAATGAAATGGAAAGGAGGACTAGAAGATGAACTAACTGGCGGAGTACCCTAGAAAGAAGAAGAGAGTAGAATCACTATCAAAGGAAGTTCCGATAAAATTGTAAGTAACTTAGTAGAAACAAAAAAATCAAGTCAACCAACTTATGCTCAGATTATGAACATCCAAAAACCGTCAAACCGTGAATACGCAATAGTGCTACAAACACGCAAAGGTATAAAACAAAAACAATATGTCGAAAAAATTTCAGAACTAGTAGAACCCCAAACAATAAAGTTCGCATCGCGAATATCCAACAATAGATTTTGTATACATTTATCAAGTAGGGAACAAGTAGATAAGCTCTTAACTGAACATAAAAACATAACAATAGACGGACAATTAATCCCTATCAGACGCTTAATAAATCCCGCGAAACGAATTATAATATCCAATGCTTCTCCCAGCATACCAAATGGTCTAATAGAAAACGAGATTAAAGAAATGGGAATTAGATTACTTTCCCCATATCATTTTTAAGAGCAGGATATCGAGACCCTAAAACGAGCCATATAATGAGCTTTAGACGTTATGTATACATCAATCTGGAAGATATAGAAAATATTAAACCATCAGTTATTGTCCAAAGTGAAGGTCTCTCCCACCGTATCTTTCTAGCGGAAGATGTATTAATCTGCTATGTATGCAGAAAACTGGGACATTTCGCAGCGAATTGCTCAGAATCAGATGCAGTTGATGAAGTACAAATCCCACTTACAGCACAACCCATAGGTTCAGACGGTGTAATCGAAAGACAAAACCCACTAGCTATTCAGTCCATAACACCTATTCCTATTCCTGAAGATCAAAACTCAAATAATAATCAAATCATTTTTTCAGACGCTATAGCTGAAGAACAGAACCCTCTCATCACTGAACACATTACTTCAATCGCTGCTGATAAAATTCAAAGCACACCCAACACTGAATTCATAACTTCAAGCAGAAAAAGCAATGATCCGATGGTCACAGAGACGTTAGAAAATAATAAAATTTATGAAAACAGTAATAGATCAGATACTACAGACAGTAATAGATCAGATACTATCAAAGAAATTATTAAAAAACCTACCAAAAAAAAAAGAATCTTCATCAGGATGCACTAAAGAAAGTAAAATTAACACTAAATATTTTAAAGTACCTAAGATCTGCTCATCAACCCCTCTGAAAGACGCAAACACACCTCCAACGAAAAGACAGAATACTTCCAAAATAATCGATAACAAAGCCTCCTCCTTGAAAACAACTATAGAAGCAAAAACAAACGAACCTAAAAAAATAAAACCAAGTACAACAGACATTCTAGAACCCATTCGAGATTTGCTAATTGATAACGATTGTCCTCTTGAATTCAATAAAATATGTTTACTATATGATACAATACAAAGTGAAAAAATATCACCAATTACAATCGAGTTAATAGAACAATTCACGGATGACAAAAACGGACTAACAAAGATGCTAATAGATATCAAGAATTTAATAACAGATAGAAGCATCAAAATATGGACCACAAAAATACTAAAGATACTACAGATAAAAGAGACATCATATAGACATATTTTATAGTAAAATATAAAAATTAAGAAAAACCGCCAATGACCCTCTAGGGTAGAGGCGAATACAAATAAAAAAAAAAGAAAAAAAAAAAAAAGAAAAACATGTATATATGCACATATCCTCATAAACATTCAAACCTGTTACAAGTTGATTTTTGAAATGTGCCAGTCTTCTTCTAATTATTGACACGTGACAGCAAATTTAATATTTTTTTAGGCAAAACTGTTGCAAGTCAAAAAATGTAGACTTAAAATTATGTTTGGAATGAAAAAAATAGTACAGACAAGTTATCTAATTGCAAGTAACCATTTGCTTAGATGATCAGGTTCTTTACCAATGATAGTCTCTGTATAAATTATATTATTTTATTTTAAAACTAGCGTCGAAGGCCTTGATGTTTTATGGATTGAAACCCCAACAAACAAAAAGTTTTTAACTTAAAATTAGATGAGCTTTCGATGTAGCTGCATCATATTCAGCTCTATAATTACAAACAACATTAATTAATAACATATTGAATATTTAATAGTTGACCGTTGCATTATGAAGGAAGGAGATGGTCTGAGGTTGCGGTCATGAATAGGCTAAATAGTGGTAAAACTATTTTATTGAAAGCCGACATTTCGACCCGACTTTGCGGGTCTTCTTCAGGGGTAGAACGGACAAGATACAAAAAAGATAGAGAAGTCACATAATATTTAGACAAAAGATTATAAACAATGTGAATAAGCTTATTAAAATTATAAACAGTAAGTACATTAAAATATAAACAGAGAAAGCTAAGTAACAAGATCCTAAACTGAAGTAAATAGATAGTAACTTCAGTCAGTTTTTCAGTATTTGTGACCTTCAGGGCTTCCCATAGCCTCGGAAGGCTGACTGTTTCCACACCATACAGTATCTCTGGTCTTATTACTTTACTGTAGTGACTTATTTTTGCATTATAGGACAAATTTTTCTTGCTGTAGATGTTTCTAGTGGCGAAGTTCAGTCTTTCCAGTTTGGCTATTCTTTCTTCTATGGACACCCTATCTGTTCTGTTGCTACATATTATCTCTCCTAGGTATTTAAAGTTTATGGTTACTTTTATTTGCTCATATTCATTTCGTGTTCAATATTTTCTTGTTAAAGTTGGCATAGGTTGTCATAATTTCTGTCTTTTCATACTAGATCTGTAGTCCCGTTTTCTCGGCTATTTCTTTCAGGGTGTGTACCTGTTTTATGGGTTCCTCTTCTGTTTCTGCCAGCAAGGCTAAATTGTCTGCAAAGGACAGACACTTTACTATCACATTGTAAGTACTGTGTTTATTTGGAATTGTTCACTTATTAGTCCCTTTATTTTAATATGTATTATTTATATTCAAATAGATTATTTACATATATATTTAAATTAAAAATTTAAAATATATATTTTTAAATTTACTGTTTGATAATTACTTTTAATATGAAGCTGCTTAGGATCAATTTTCAAAGTGTTGAGAACGCTCAACGCTGATGAGGCCTCTTCAAGAATGACATTCCTCAGAGTATCCTCTATGCTGTTGACAGGCCTGCAAACGGTATACGGAATTAAATATCATGAATGAAAATTACATTTTGATAATGAAATAACTTTGGATTGGTTGATTAAAGATATACGACTTACTTTGGGATTTTCCTCCTGTCGAGAATTATTCTAAAAAATATGATAAGGCTTCCGTTGGCGAAACTTGTAATGAAAATGTCATGAAGTGCTGGACCAAGCCGACTTTTTCCATAAAGGGCTTCTAACTGAAAATTATTAAATAAATTTAATTAAGTGTTTTTTTTTTTTTCAAAATTAATAATAAATTCAAAACTTTTGATTTACAGTTATACTAATGACTTTCAACACTTAACTATAACTTGAAAATGTGAAACAACCTATAATTGAATTATTTGAAAATATTTTCTTACAAAGCAAAAAAAACAAACTTTAGTTAATCTTCCAGTTTTCTATCTACACTGATAAGTACTAACAGATTAATGGGAGAAGAGATGGCTGAAGGTAGAAGCTTTCCTTTTCCCCTCTCCCCAAATAAGAATTTTTTTTTTTTCACTGGTACATAATTGTTTCTGTCAAATATGTACTATTTTGAAATTATGATGCATACTCAGCTACTGAAAGTAATAGTCCACAGTTACTTTCATTGGTACTTATTTAATAGTGGGTAGCATTGGACTGCTATCTGCCAATGTTTAAAACCTTAACACTGATAAGGTCTTCATATTTATCAAGCTATTCATATTTATGATATTTATATTGATATTATTGAAATTGTAAACAAAAACAAATACGAATGTAATAATAAAAAAATACTTTTATTTTACAACATTATATACAAAACATTATAAATATATAATTAAAAAACATTACGAAGACATTGCAACATATATATCAAAATAAATGAAATAATAAAAATAGGCAAAAAATAGACAAATATAGATGAAATAATAAAAAAAACACTCAAACAGCATATAAAAGAAACACTATGAATTTGCTATGGTTGTGGTTATGGGATCACCCATAAATGAATTTTAAAGCTATTAAAAAAAAAAATCCTGGACCCCTCTAACCCCAGTTTTGTTACAACTACGAAACCATTTCCATTTAATCTTCCCGTCAAACTTCATTTGATGACCTTCATGACAATATTTGATCTTTGCAAATATCCTGGCATCTTGTAAATATTTTATAGCCTCTTCTTCTGAAGATGGCAATTCCCACAATGTGACAACATCCATAATTAAATAACACTAACTCACAGCAAACACAAGAAACAAAAAATAAGAAAGGGAGTAACGAGTAAAGAGATAAGGGAGGTTATGTGAAATGAGATTAGATAAGGGAGGTTTTGACGCTACCCACTATTAAATAAGTACCCTTTCATTAAACAGATACAGTTAAGTGTTTCACTCGAGATTTGACAGATACAAGGATTACCTTCCATTAGAAAGGGGCAAGTTGTTTTTAAAATCAGCACTAAGATCTCTAAACAGAGCAAAATGAAGCCTCTGATGAACTCAGTGCTGTGTTTAGGAACCTACCTAACACAACTGACTTTACAAGTTAGTAGGTGGAAACAGCGATCCTGATAGGAAAAGAAGGAAAAACTAAATCTGTTTAATTTAAACAGCTTTCCGAAACAGCTGCAGAAGCTGTTTAATTTAAACAGCTTTCCGAAACCGCTACAGAACCAGTTTAATTTAAACAGATACAGAGAACTGTTTAATTTTAACAGCTTCTTGCAATATATATGTAAACAGTTCTGTGAAACAGAAACAGCCCTCCAAAACAAGTACATTCCTCTGAAATAGATTTACACCTCTGCAAGTGATTCAGAAACTGTTCCTTTTAGTAACACTACTATAATTTTTCTTTTTAGTAGTTGTTTCTATGAAACAAAGGCATTGTTGCAACCTATAAACAGCTATACTATTTACTGTTTAGTGAACAGTTTTAGCAACTCTTTTCCTATCTAATTGCAATTTGTTCATTATTTTAACTAACATGTAAATTGATAATTGTTACTTATAAGACACTTCACTTTTTTTTTTTTGCTCATCGAATTTCTAAACAGACATATATGTTTTTCTGAAAACGTTTTTTGAAAGTAGTAGAAACTATTGCAACTGCTACTGATATTAAACAGCTTTGTCTATCACTAGTCAGTGGTACAGACCCCTTTTCATCAAATTATTAACATTGGACTAAAACTTTGTGAATAGTTTCATCTCATCGTAACCTACAAATCTTTTATTCACGAAAATTTTCAGGCTTGGATTTTTTTTTTTAAACCGGAGGTAGGCAAACTTTTTTCGACTTAACAAAAAAATGCCCTTGAAAATTTGGAAGATTTTATAAATAAATAAAATAAAACGTAATATTATATGTGACCATTCGTTTTATATCTGCTTTACTTATGTTTTTAAAACAGTAGATTAAACTCTACCCAACTCAGACTTTGGTTGATTAAAATTATTTCCTTTTGTTCCCTTCCTAAGCCTTGGAATTTCCCTAAAAAGAGAACTTTTTTCCCTCGCCTTTAAGGCTATACTGGGTTTTCCCGGGCCAGGGGTTGTGGGCGGGGATTTAAAAGACTCCCCCAGCACCGGGACGCGAATTCGTGACAATTTTTCAAATCTCATAGATCAGGTTGCTGGGCAACGCCGGTGCTATGCACACACGTTAGCCGTTCGGCCACCCCGTCCCTAAAAAAAGAACCTGTTCACCGAAGTGAAAATCCTGTATGTGACCATGTAGGTATGTATCAACTCGTACAATCTCTCATAATCAGGAGTGCCCACCCTTCCTCCCTCAAGATCGATAGCATAAGAATCCATCCCCCTCCTCCCTCAAGATATTTTATTGCTCACCTTATCTTAAAAACAGAGCAAAGGAAAGTAGAATTACAAAAATCATAGATCATATACAATTACACTGCATTCTTTTCCATGTTTTGCCCTTGTCCCTTATTCTGAACCCTGTTGAAAGGTGCCCCCCCCCCTCAAAAAATTAAAAAGCCATCATAAATCAAAAATTTCGATGCCGCAACCTGCGCCATAAAACCCCCTTTTGGGTACCCCTGCTGATGATAATTACATCAAAAGCAGATCGAAGGTAGGTGACAAGCTCGTCAGATGGTTCGACTATAGATCGATCAGCAACTAAATTTGTCATTGATCCCTAAATTTTCAATTCCTCCATTTTTTAATTTTATTTCCTGCACAAATCAAAGCTTCCCTAACTTCGATAGTGAGGAAGCAAATTATGTTAAGAGTGTCATAAATAGTTTTATAATATTCTTTGTGAAGTAATATTATTGTATTGAAATAAAATGAATGATGATTGGATGACTTCCCTGAGACCATTCATTAATTACATCAGTCAGGGTCAGGTGATGACGATCTGGAACAAACCAAAATTAAGCAAAAGCTTCATGGGCGGCATCTGGCGACCTCTATCAAGGCCTGCGGTTAACTAATCAATGACTTAGCCAATTTAATTAAAAATATATCTCTTGATAATGAAGGTGAACTTAGCTTTAAGGTATGTTTAGACATTTCACAAACTATGGTAAACAAGAATATGTAAATGGGGCTACAGATATGTATATTTGTCGCAATATTTGTGATCCATAATACTGCCGGTTTATTAAGAGAAATCATAGGAAGTTTTTGTTATAGCTATTGTCACATTTTATTACTGTCTGTGTTGCTTAGAAACACGGACGGATCTACGCGGGGGGGGGGGGGGAGGGGAGGAGGCTTAGGGCTGAAGCCTCTCCAAAATGATAAAATATAACCATTTTTTATGGACATTTTTTTTTTAAAATCACCTCTTAAAGTATTATTGTTCGTGTAATTACATTTAAAAGGACTTAAGGAATCACTTAAACACCATTTCATATAGGTAGCTATTACTTTTTTTCCAAAGTAATTATCGTTATTTTTATGAAACAAAAAACTTTCTGGCTGAAGCCCCACCCCCATAAAAAATTAAATCCTGGATCCGCTAGTGCTTATAAATGTTGAATAAAATCGGTTCTTGTATGATTTAAATCAATTTGGTTTATTTTTAAAACTATCAAGGTGCGCTTAGACATTTCACAAAATTAATGATATCTTATTCGGTAATAAGGAGGATATTCTAGATGAAACTTGATGGAAAGAATAAAAAGGTCGATAGGTCGACATATCGACCTTTGGGTATCGACTAAAATTTCTTTACCGGCGGTCAATGTAACTATTTCCTACACGTTTGGGCCAAATCGAACTAGCCATTTTTTAAAAAAAAAGGCGCTTCGAAGAAAATACGCAAACCAAATCGATATGTGACCAAAGTTTCTACCATAATTTTTTTTTTCCCCTTTTGGTCAGTCAGATTTTATCTCAAAACGAACTTAAAATTCCTTCCGTCCAAATATAAACAAAACAATACGTAATATTACATATGACTAATCGTTTTATGACTTTTTTACTTATATTAATAAAACAATAGATTAAACTCGGACTTTGGTTGATTAAAATAGTTTCGCTTGAAAAAAATGAAAAATAAATATTTAAATGGTTATTTATCTATACTAGTGTTTTTGTTTTTGATGTTTTCCATCTGCTGTCGGTATCAAGAGAAATAAAATAAATAGTTCAGTTTAGCAATAATGTAGGTTTTAGTTAAGTTAGATAATTCTGTTTCCCATAGTTTGTGAAATGTCTAAACGCACCTTAATAGGTTAGGACAAATGTGATTCCCAATGATTTCCATGTTTGTTTCTCTGGAATAAAGAATTGTGTAAACCCTCTGTTTTTTTTTTTTGTTTCTGTCTATTTGAGTTTTTGGTGTTTTTGAAATACGTAAACCCAGTTTTAGAAACAATGAAATTATAATTCTTATAAGTAGAGACCGTTTTTATATGTACCTTTTTTACTTTCACTTACGAATATATGTAATATATAGTAAGTGTGAGTATTGCGATCGTGAAAATTTTTGAATCGATTTTTCAACGGAAAGACACTTTTTGGGGTACTCTGAGTCCAAATAACCAAGTACCGGAACAATGGTCTGTGTGTGTATGATAATTGAATAAAGGAGAAAAAAATAAAAATGCTTATCCAGGTCGAAAATGAATCTCCGGAAATACCAGTCGGATATTATACCCTTGAAAAGCCGAGAATTTTAGAAAAAATAATATCTAATATAGAAAGTTGTAGAAGGTAAAGGAGAGTGGCGAAAACATTATAAATAATAATGTCAGGAAACTAACGTTATTTAAAGTAAATCGCATGTTTCCAAGGAAATTAAATGAAATTTTCTTACTATATGTAAACTTTTAAATGTTTTTCTAAGATTGAAAAAAAGTTATTTAAAATCCACCTAATCAAGCTAATGTCATTGTTTAAAATACTATTTCATTGAACTTGTGTGAAAGAAGAAGTGAAACATAAAAATATTTCATGGATATGTTTATAACCTCAAATATATTTACTATAGAGTATTAACTCTAGATAAGATATTATATTTAAATAATTAATGTCAACTAAACGTTCCTAGTGTCAAAACCGTCCACCTTTATTCACAGTTCTACATTACAACACTGCAATCACCTACTCTAACCCTAATCCTTACTGATAATTTGTAAGGATTTTAATCGTTTAAAAAATGAAAAAAAAAAACATAGAAATCTGACCACTTTTATTGAAATACCTACGCTCAACAATAATCTCAAAGAATGTCCAACGGTCAGCAATAGACCGTAGAGAAGGGTATACAATGCTAAGATAAAAACATTTTTAATATATGGTTGTCAGACTTGGACACTAACCAGCACCCTAGAAAAACGTATTGAAAGATTTGAGGAAAAAATCTTCCGCACAATCTGAGATCAGAGTACTAATACTTGTAGGAGATATACCAAAAAAGAGCTGTTTACAGGAACAGGTCAATCAATATTAAATGATACGAAGGCAAGGAGGGTAAGATGTATCTTGGAGCAATCCAACTGGAAGCCTCTACACAACAATGAATGCTTCAATAGAAGGAAAAGGAGAATCATATTTTGTCCTCCCCTTCCTCGCCGTTAAAGCTATACGGGGTTTCCCGGGCCAGGGAGTGTGGGCGGGGATTTAAAGGAGATAGATACAATCAACAAAGATGAAATAGAGCTCCATGCAGATAACTGGAAGGAAATAGACGAAGATAGGCAGATATGGAGTCTGTGATCCCCCCTCCAAAAAAAAAAAATAAAAAAAAAAAATATATATATATATATATATATATATATATATATATATATATATATAATGTTCCTATAACTTATTGATCTCTGACCAATATAAAATGCTATTTATAATTTTTAACTATTAAATTAATTAATAGATAATATTAAAAATATTTTTAATAAAACAGGTTAATAAATACAAAACTCACCAATGTCTGGTAGCGACGACTTTTCTGATAGAACTGCAATCCGCTCTTGTTGGCAAGAGCTGGGCTGAATTTGTCACCGAGGAGCCTCATACTACCGTCGAATACCATCAAGGCTGCAAAAATAAAAAGAATCTTCAACAAGTATACGATTTTAGTAAATTAATCCGAATCTAAGGGGGGGGGGCGATCCAAAGAGTTCGAATCTAAGGGGGGGGGGCGATCCAAAGAGTTCGAATCTAAGGGGGGGGGGGGTGATCCAAAGAGTTCGAATCTAAGGTTTGGCTCTAGGTCCTAACTGTTCTCAGGGGCGTATAATAGAGAAAAAAAAATCTTTAAATTTACTTACTTTTTGCTGGTTCCAACCGAAGAGCTGAAAATAAGAAAAAAAAATTAATAAATAAGTTTATTTATTTTTAGAAAAAATAAATTAAAATTTAAAGATGAAAAATAGTCAGGACGTGTAATCAATAATCATGTTTATTAAATTTTCCAACGTTTTGACCTAAACATGATTGATTGTTGACTGTAAATTCTGATTATTTTTCATCTCTATATTTTCAAAAGTCAACTATATATATTCATCTTTAAACTAAAACTGTATGAAGAATATTTGACCGGAAGCACCGTGAAGCACACTATGTTATTTTTCCATTAATTAGTTAAGAGTGACCATCAGTGATAGACAATATAGGAATCAATGATTACATGATTATAACATAAAATTTATTATTAACCAAACAAAAAATGGAGAGCTTTAGATTAAACTTTGCAATCTGCAAATTTCTTTGCAATAAGCTAATTTTTTGGCAGCTTCACAGCTTCCCATCACGTCCGGGATATAAATCAGATCAGCAGGTCTCTTGGCCAACGCCTACGTAATCGTCGTAGTGGGCTGTACGGGTTTCTTGTACGATGAAGGGTTTCTGTCAGGAGATTCATGTTGTACGTCAGTCTTTGGTGAAAGGTATTGTAGTTCTCTTTTGCTATATTTAAAATTGTAGGTACGTTTAAGTCTTTATGTAGTGTATCGTTTGTGACATCAACTATCCTTCGCAACACTTTTGACTGAAAGGACTGAACTTTTTTAATGTTGGAAGTTTTAGCAGAGCACCACAGTTCTATGCCGTAAGTCCAAATGGGTTTAAGTAAGACTTTATAAAGGGTTAGTTTGTTAGTTAAAGATAATTTTGATCGTCTGTGTAATTCTATACGTTTTTGTCTGATTTGAGTCCTCCAAGTAAGTCTTTTGTCCAGGTAAAAACCTAAATACCTAATTACATCTGATGTTGGGATTTTAATGTTATTAAAATATATTTCAGGAGAAGGTTTATGGTTAAGAGTGAATACTACATGCAAACTTTTTTTTTCATTCATCTTAATTTTCCATCTTGTTGCCCAATCTGCAATATCTTTCAGATGATTTTGAATTGTGGTAGATGCTCGAACAGGATAAAATAAAATAACACCTAATTATCACGCCAATCTTATACTTGATTAAACAGCTCTATAAATATAGCAAAAATATTGTCCTTTGAATATTTTAGCGAAAATGTGGATTGGATTTCGGCATGTAATCTGCTTCGGCCTTTGTATAAGTAAATAAACTGTTAATTTAATTTTTGAATATGATTTAACATTAATGTTTAAAAGAAAGAATGTATTTCTTTTTAAATTTAATTTAAGATTTTATATTGATAATTATTATGCATTATTTTAATTGTTTGATTTTTTACTAATTATGATTTGTAAGTAAGACCTAAATATTTTATAATATACCATAAGGATAGTAATGTTTATGATACAAAGATAGACTCTTTGTATGGGGTTCTTCCCTCAAAACAAATAAAATTAAAAACAAAAACATACAGTAAAAATTCACACGATTACCTTATTACAATTGTCAGGGGTGCCCATCCCCCCAAGATCGATGGGCACAGACAGACCGATGGCTAAAAATGTGTTTTTCGAACTCAGGGGGCTCTGAAACGTAAAGATCCGACAAAAACCGTATATCAGAAATTTAACCCGATTGCAATACTTTCCTTACCTAGTATAGGTAGGAAAGTAAAAACACGTAAACTAACAGGAGAGTAAGTAAGCTGCAAAAAAGTGTATGAAAATATTAAAGTCTCATTATTTTTCTAATTTCAAACATTAAAATACGAATTTGATATGTGCAAGGTAAAACTTATATTAATTCTTGAAAAGATCTGGGATTTTTAAGGTGTACCTCGAGAGTCGGTTCAGACCTAAACCGAGGCAACTTCCTGTAACCGCTGGAAGATATTTTGGTCACGTTCTCAAACTCTTGACTAACTCATCTCAGATCTGAATCCCAGCAGTTCAAAATTTCCAACAAGAGAACATCATTAATTTGTAGGCGATTTGCGCGAAGTATTTAATACTTGTTTGAAGCATCGGAAAAACTCATGTATTATTTCTAAAAGCTGTTTTTTTTTTTTTTCGGTACGCCATAACTTCGTGTCAATTCTTCATCGAATCCAATGATTGACCACTCATTTTGAAGATATTCTTTTCCTTCACATGTGAACAATAGTCCTATTCCCATCTCCCCCGAAATTTCTCGAAAAGTTATGAAGGAAAAGAATCTTTATTTGTGAATACCTCAAAAAGTATGCAGTTTCTTCTTAATTGTACCCATGATAATTAGAAAGATTACTAAATTATCTACGAAACAAAACAAAAAAAATATTACAAATTTGTAAAATTTAAACAAGTTGTACCGACCGAAGGAGCAAAGAGTGTTCAAATATTTTTTTTATAGTGAAACAGAGTTGATATTTGTATTTCGTAGTTTAAATGATCTTTGAATACGAATTTTCATAGTGATCAAAAATAAAAAAAAAGTCTACAAATATGACCTAACGCACCCCGCACCCCACCCCTTTGATTTTCTTTCGAAAATCACAAAAAAATGTTATAACTTCAATATGCTTTCACCTTCTCTTTCTGTTCTTTCCTACCTCGCCTTTTAGGCTATACGGGATTTTCCCGGATCAGAGGATGAGGGCGGGGAATTTAAAATCCCCTCTGGTACCGGGACGCGAACTCGTGACTATTTTCATATCATAGAATCATATATCCGGTTGCCGGGCAACGACGGTGCAGTGCACACGCGTTAGCCCATTCGGCCACCCCGCCCACAATACGCTTTCACCTATCTACACAAAAATTTGCAGGGATATAGGACCAATTATTAACAAAGATACAGTCCATTAGTTTTGGTATACTTAAGAATTTCTCCCTCTTTAAAGATACTGCATTCACTATTCTACTACCTTTTTTTTCCTGGCTGATATATGCTTTATTATTTCTTAAAGGCTTTTTTTTTTGTTTATTTGATCTTTTTTTAATAATTTAGAAAATTCCATGATTGAGGCTTCATGTTGAGAATTACTTTTTCAGCCCTAGCAAAGAAATTTGTACAAACATTTTGGTCTATTATGTTGAATGGAATATTGTAATCGAATAAGAGAAAACAATTAATTCCTACCTCATATAATACATAGGATCTACTTATTTCCATATTGCTTTGTTATTCCTCCACTAAAGAAAATTTTCTGAGAATTATTCGCACGGCCCAACTAGTTCTACATATTTTTAAAAATCGTTTCAGCTACCATAGGATTCACTAGCATTGTATAACAGTATTCAGCGCATACCATTTGGTTTGGGTAAAAAATATAATTTAATTCAATCGAAATGTAATATTAACAAAAGCGAATTATCTACACGACAGCGGCAAATGTGACAGAAATAAAGACTGTAATGTTTTCTTCTAGAAATTTTGTATCTTAATCGCCTGTTAATGACTCCGATCGTCAAAGTTAGTTTACATTTTTTGTAAACCATTATTAAAAGTTCAGCATCTTTACAAATCGAACATTTTGCAAAGAATTAACGAGACTAATGTTTTTTTGTAAATTGTTTCTATTATAAATTTGCTACTTGAATATTCGGCTGAAACATTTTCCAAATCAGCTTCAAGGTATAAAACCATTATTATTAGCGTTTTTCTTATTTATTTACACACTACATATGTATATAATCCCTTATATATAGCTATTTCTGCCATAAACAGTGTTACAAAAGTTGAACTTTGTTTACATCCTTAAAGAAAACAGAATAACTGTAATCATCTTACGAAAAGTTGGAAAATGTAGGCCAGAGATTTTCAACACTTTGAAACCTTTGGATATCAACCGTATGTTCCTACAACGTACCATAAATAGAAATAATGAGACTCTAACAGACAGGGTCTGTGACAGACCTAGATCGGGCCGTCCCCGCACTGTGAGAACGGCAAATGCATTGAGAGCAGTGGCTGCTCTAATCAAAAGAAATCCCATTAGAAAACAACAAATCATGTCTCGGGAAATAAGAATCTCTGTCAGGTCAATGCCTCGCATAAAAACTGAGGATGGGTGCATTTCTAACAATGACAGGACAATGGTTAACCACTTCCCAGAAAAAAAAAAAAAATTAGTGGATAGATGCAAAGTGCTCCTTGGCCGTTACAGCAATGGTCTTCATCGAAAGATTTTGTTTAGCGATGAGAAATTTTTTACAACTGAAGACAAATTTAATCCCCAAAAGGATCGAGTCTAGCCCAGAAAATCATTGGAAGAGTGGAAAGAGATCATCACCTTTCCTCAGTGATGGTTTTTGTGGAGAGTTTGCTTTGATGCTAAAAACTATCAGGAAGATATTTTAGAACCTTTTGTCAAGTCTCTAAATGATACTGTGAGTCATTGGATTTTCCAGCAGGATTCCGCTCCAGTTCACAAGGTCAGATTTACTCAGCAGTGGCTGTAAAACTATATTCCAGAGTTCATATCTGCCTCGGATTGGCCCCCAGGAAGCCCTGATCTCAACCCACTAGATTATTGACTTTGGTCCCAACTGGAGAGGATGGCATGCCACAGAACACACCTTAACTTGGAAAGCCTCAAACAATCTCTGGTCCGAGCAGTTGAGTGCTTTCTTCGAGAAGTGCTGCGTGCTACCATTGATCACTGGCCACGGAGATTAAATGCCCGTGTCAAGATAAATGAGGTTCATCTATGGTAATTTATTTTTGTTTTACTCTCTATAGATATACATTTTATTTTCTAAGAAAGTTTTTGAAAAAAAAAATGTTTCTGTTGAAATCTGTATATATTTCCTTGTAACAATATTTATGACAGGAGTAAGTATGTAGATAGATAGATATGTTAATGAAACAATTTCTGTTACGATATTCGATGTCATATTAATATTATTTATTTATTTTTTAAAGTATCAAATGAAATTAATTGGTTGAAGGTTCATTTAATTTAATTTTTATTTTATTTTTAATCTTATTCTATCATTCACTTAACATAAAATAATAAATTCATTTAATAATTAGCTTTTGGCTTATCGCTTACCTCCAATGTACAAAGCTAGCCCGGACACCGCCAGTACCCCAAGGAGCACCAAGAAGAGAACCAAGATGGTGAGCAGCGAACAGCATGGCTGCAACGGATCCTTTTCACGTCTTTTCTCTCCTGGGCAACGCTGAAACATAAATAAATATATATACAACCTGTACTATTACAATCCATGACGAATATTTGGTTTAGTACTTAATTTGTATAGGTCCTTTTTTCCCTTCCTATCAAAATTCGGCATTCTCCTTTCCTATCTACATTTAAAACCCTCCTATTCCAGTTTCTATCCAAAAAACAGTCAGACACCCACCTCTCCCCCCCCCCTAACCTTTTATGTAAATTTACATATTATTCAAAATGATTCACATAATGATATATTTACATATAATTCGTCATTTAAATACTTACTATCAGATTCGTATTCTTTTTTTTTTCTTTTTTTTTTTCTGCAGAAACACAGAGTTTATTGCTAAGAAGAGTGTAATGTATTTTTTATTTTCAAAGTGTATAGTGTAAATAGGTATGCATGTGTTTTTTGATTAGTTTTAATATTCTTATTTTTTAGGTTAATTTATTTTATTATTTATTGTATATACTTCTGGATTATTATTTTGCTTCTATTTATTTTATATTTTTGTACATAGAGTGTGAATGTTATCCTACCTCACTATAACTAATGTCCAAGAGACAGATTGTTGTAATACTCAATAAAAAAAAAAAAAAATTGTATACTTATGTTTTATCACTGTACATTGTTTTAAGTGACTTGGCATGGTTTCAAGTGTTTTGTATATAGATTTTTTTTATTTTGTATATTTTATTTTATATAGTATATTTAACTAATATTTTTTTTCTTTTTTCTCTTTATTTTTACTTTTTATGTCTGTTTTTACTTATGCCAGATATAATACATTAATCTTGTACTTTTTTTGTTATTCTAAAGGGACTTCGTCCAGGAATAAGATTATTTTCTATATTATTTACATGTGATATCGATTGTTGTGATAAAATGAAATAAAATCATATGGGTTGTCCTGCTCCTACATCACTGCCTCCTAGAGACAGTGCTGTAACAACCCATATGATAGTATTTTATATCAAAGAAATAATAATACAAATATTTGGTTGAAAATTATTACTTTTGGTTCGGGCATAGATGCTTTTCTACTGTATGATTATCTGAGATAAACATTAATAAAAAATGTTAACACCTGTGTTGGACTGTATTTTCCAAAAATTGCTATAATTTAAATAGCAATTACAAAAAATTAAAATGCTTTACGATCCTCGTCTCCTCAGACAGGCCCCGCCGGGGGCTATTCAAGGAGGCACTTCCCGCTTATTTTAAAAAAAGCTAATACCTATCATTAAAAATTATTTTAAATTACAGCCCACCGCAAGAAGTTTTATTGGGTCGTTATATTTGCATGCGTATCATCGGCTACAGAAATATATTATTATATAGCTCGGAAAAAGAGAAGAAAACAGAGAAGTTATGTATCTTTTAAACAATCTTTGAACGGTCATCATTTCCTTTTAATTATGCTTTATAAGGGTCATTCTCAAACTTTAAGAGGTTTTTAAATTCTCAATTTTTTTTATTTTTATTATATCACGAAATACATGCACAAAATATCACATATATTTACTGAATATAATTATGTATAACATTTATATTTAAGCACTAGCGGATCCAGGATTTATTTTTTGGGGGGAAGGGGGCTTAAGCCCGAAAGTTTTTTTTTTCATAAAAATAACGATAATTACTTTGGAAAAAAAGAAAGAAACTAACTACCTGTATGAAATGGTGTTTAAGTGATTCCTAAAGCCCTTTTAAATGTAATCACACGAACAATAATACCTTAAGAGATACTTTTTTAATATTTTTTTCGATAAAACGTGCTTATATTTTACCATTTTTGGAGGGGGGGCTTCAGCCTGAAAGCCCCCTCCCCGTAGATCCGCCCGTGTATTTAAGTAATAATATCTAACTAGTTGGCCCGTGCGAAAAATTCGCAGAAAATTTTGTTAAGTGAAGAAATAGCAAAACAATATGGAAATAAGTTTGTATGTATTATGTTAGGGAGGAATCAATATGTTTTCCTTGGTCGATTACAATATTCTATTTAACATAATAGACCAAAATATTTTCGGGATTTTCTAAATTATTAAAAAATATCAATTGTTCAAAAAAAAATAATCCTTTAAGAAATAATAAAGCATATATCAGCCAGGAAAAATAAGGTAGTAGAATAGCAAATACAGTATCTTTAAATAGAAAGAAATTTTTAAGTATACCAAAACTAATAGACGGTATCTTTGTTAATAACCGTCCCTATATCTCTGCAAAATTTTGTGTGGATAATAGGTGGAAGCTTATTGAAGTTATGACATTTTTTTGTGATTTATATTGTGTTGAGATAGGATTATTGTTCGCATGAGAAGTAGAAATATATCTTTAAAACGAGTGATTTATCATTTTATTTCATGAAGAATTTACGAAGTTATAGCGTACCGACAATAAAACACCTTTTAGAAATAATATATACGATAATATAGTAAAACTAAAGAATTCTAATTTTATCATATTAATTTTTTTTTTTAATTGTAACTTCATGGACAATGATTCAAAAGTATAGCATTGGTTCTGAAATAAAAACCTTTACTTCATTTTAACTTCAAAAGGTTAATTTATTAAATAAATCAAGTAGTAAAAAAAAAAAAAAAAAAAAAAGGCAAAGTACGAAATATTTTTATTTAATTTGGCTTTCTGATTCTTCATAAACTTCATGAATTGGAAAACATTAAATTTTAGATTGAATACTTAATAGTAGACCGTTGTATACTTTAGAGGAATGAGATGGCCCGATGTGGCAGTCATAAACAGACTAAAATAGTAGAAGGACTAAAATTTTTCAGTTTTAACTGATACTTCTTGCTGAACGCACCTCCTTGAAGAAGACCTGCAAAGTCGGGCCGAAACGTTGGCTTGAAATAAAGTAGTTTTTCTACTATTTCAGTCTATTTATGACCGCCACCCCGGACCATCTCCTTCCTCTATTAAATTTTAGAGTACTGCTATCTGAATTTCGGACTTTGTTTTACGTCGAATTTTGGAATGACAAAGTTAGATGCGCAAAATTTCAAAATTATATTAATAAGAGGTAGAATTAAGTCATCGACGAATGTAAAATTAAGTTCACAGCTTTAAGATATTGTACAAACAAAATTGTTAATCTAAGTAACAAAATATTCATGCATCAGTTAATTGTAACATTTTCAAGTCAATTTAAAACTGAGTTTTAAGTGAAACTCCTTGGTGATCACACCTCCTTGAAGAAGACCTGCTAAGTCGGGTCGAAACTTAGGCTTTTAATAAAATAGTTTAGCCACTATTTTAGTCTATTTATGACTGCCACCCGGGATCATCTCCTTACCCTATATGAAATTCACTTTTTCCTTAAAATTAGCTAACTGGAAGTGCCACTTTATATCAACTGTGATACACATTTTTACAATTTTATCAAAAACTGCTCAAACGGTTTTGATTAAACTCGGTGTATCATTGTATAATGAAGTGGTCTTTAATATCATCCCCCTTGATGTCACTTTGCAGGGCTTAAATGCTTAAATGTTCAACCTTAAAGTTCCTTTAATTCGGTTTATTTTAAATAATTAACCATCTCTCATTATTAAGAGTTACGAAAAAATGCTAAGTATAACTTTTGAAAGAATTTGATAATTGAAAAAAAAGTGAAAATGTTTATTTAAGCCGAAAATGAAGTTCTGGAAATACTATTCAGAAGGTATATCGTTGGAATACATAAAGTCGTAGAAGGTAACGGAGAGTGACGAAAACGTTATAAATTATAATTTCTAAAAATTAACATTATTTAACGTAAATCACTTGGTTTCAAGGAAATTAAATGAAATTTTCTTACTAAACTTTTACAATTTTTTATTGTAGTTTGAAAAAGTGTTTAAAATCCAAGGATTCAAGGCAATGCCATTGTTTTAGATATTATTTTTGATTGTACTTGTGTGAAAGAAGAAGTGAATTATATGAAATGTTGTATTAGTGATTTTTGAATTCTTATTGAATGCAATTACACAAGTAATAATACTTTTTGAGATATGTTTTTTTTTTTTTCATCAGACATGGTTATATTTTACTATTTTTGTTGGGAAGAGGGGGGAGGGAGGTTCAGTTTGACATTCCCCCCTCCCGTAGAGCTGTCTGTAGAAGGTTATATATTGATTATTTTAAGAATGGAAAAATCTAAATTATAAAGCCACGAGTCTCTAACATACGGGTAAAGAGTAAACCTGCCAACGTTTCGCAAATTTAGGCCTAGGCGCCGACATATGAAAATTATTGGGAGGGGCAAGGCAAAAATAGATGGTTCATATTACAGTTTAGCTAAGTTTATGAATCCAAATAATTAATCAAAAATATCTTTACTTTCCTTTCAGTTTATTATTTTTGCTCAAAGTTTTGTACATGTCCGCTATATTCATAGAGTTCACACTATAGCCATTTTTTCAGGGGCTCAGCCCCGCAAGCCCTTAGTAGTCGGTGCCTATGAATTCAGGCATCATCAGTAAAGAAAAAACAACATCGCTTAAATGCAGACAGAAAAAAAAAAAAAAATCTGGTGCGCGCAATACAGAACTTTCACTTACCGCTCTACTTTGAATAGAAATTATTTTCTGGCAATGCTGGGCTATTATAAAATTTTTTGAAGTGAATTTTAAACGGATATAAAGCTTAAAGCTTAAAGCTTACAGATAACAAGTAATTAAGACCATTATAATTACAAAATGTCTATTTAATATATCGACGGTAGGCAATAAAAATTTAGTCACTCCATCTGCTTTTAGAAACCACACAACTTTCTTTGCTTTTATAAACCACAGAATGACTAACTCCAATTTCAAGCAGAGATGGGAAGAAAGGAAGAAATTGAAAAAGAAACCAGTATCATAGTCGCGTAGTCCTTCAGGACTCTTTCGCGTCAAATAATAATAATAAAAAAATATATAAATATTCGGGCTGAAGCCCTTTGCCAAAAATTAAATCCTGGATCCGTGAGTGTAACCTTCAACAACATTAACACGGAAAGAGGGAGGGACTTGTGTAGTTTTAAAAACCATATAGTCATATTATTGAATTATATATTAAAAAACAATATCCTGAATGTAGTAAATAAAACATTTTATAACACTAATAAATGGTAAAATATTTTTGAAGATTGCTGTGGCTGCCTTAGAGATGAAGCACCGACTCCTGTACTTCTTGAAGAGGGCCTAAGGACAGAGGAAGGAGACAGCTAGGGCGGTGCAATACGATGCAGCCTGGGAGCAGTGAACTGTCAAGGTCGGGAGTGACCCCCAGCCTGCCTCCGTCATCCTCTCTAGGGCGGCTCCCCGATCTAGCGGAGTATCCAAGTCAAAGAGGGTGTCGCCACTAATGGGAATATTGGGGGAGACGAAG